GACGAGGTCGACACTCACGGGCCAAACGGGGAAGGATACGATTTTAATAATGCAGCCACCTTGACAATTCCTTATTCCAAAATTCCGCGAGGGAGTTGTAGTTGAAAATCGGCACGTTTATGAACGCGACTCGGCGGTACGAGCGTGTAGGGTGAGATGCAATAAAAAAAGGGTAGATGATGAAATCCAAACAATAATGATGACTAACTGTACTCTCATCGTGCACGGCTATTCCTAGTGTCAATACGAAGGAAGGGGCACACACATGATTTGGAATTGGATCACTATTCTTTCGGAAAAATCCTATCAATTTGAATAAACGTAGCAATCGTTCCTCCAAACTGCAAATAACTAATAACTTGGCAATAGCCTCCTAAAAGAGCGGCGTAAGACTCCGTGAGGTTTTGTTAGGTAAACATAATAATATTTCGATTTAAAGCTTTCGTGACTGCAAGGATTCATCTTCTTTGGTTCTTTCGGTAAAGTCACGCAGAATGAGAATAAAATAATAAATTAATAAAATAAAATAACACAATAAAATTCTCACGACGTTTTGGCCACAACACAAGTGGCCTTCAGGTGAAAGGAACAGACCTGTCGGGACGACAGAGCTTCAATGAACGTTGTTAAGATTCGTAGCGTCTTTTAAGCTGGTTTAGAGAAGTGAGGCTCCTTGACAAAGAGGTTTACATATCAAACAGGAGAATTTAGCATTGAAATAGCTGAGTAATTAGCTTGTGACTGGTCATAGAAATAGCTATGTTAAAGCTTACACATCCACAGAGGCACCTATTACAAATCAAACTGGATAATTTAGCATTGAAATAGCTGAGTGATTAGCTTGTGACTGGTTACAGAAATGGCTATGTTAAAGTAAAAACCTACACATCCACAGAGCCACCTAGTATAAATCAAACAGGAGAATTTAGCATTAAATAACTGAGGGATTAGCTTGTGATTGGTCATAGAAATAGCTATGTTAAAGTCAAAGCCTACACATCCACAGAGGCACCTAGTACAAATCAAACAGGAGAATTTAGCATTGAAATAGCTGAGTGATTAGCTTGTGACTGGTCACAGAAATGGCTATGTTAAAGTCAAAGCCTACACATCCACAGAGGCACCTAGTATAAATCAAATAGGAGAATTTAGCATTGAAATAACTGAGGGATTAGCTTGTGACTGGTCATAGAAATAGCTTTGTTAAAGTCTTAACTTTAACAAAGAATCTTAACAACGTTCATTGAAGCTCTGTCGTCCCAACAGGTCTGTTCCTTTCACCTGAAGAAGGCCACTTGTGTTGTGGCCGAAACGTCGTGATAATTTTATTGTGTTATTTTATTTATTCTTTTATTCTCATTCTACGTGACTTTACCGAAAGAACCAAAGAAGATAACACTAATAATAGGAATAAAACACCCTTTCATCTTACTCTCTGCATCATATAATAATTATTATGAGTAGTAGTTATTTGTTTAAAGAGCGCGCTTTGCACCAAACGCCTAACATCATATCATCTCAAGACCTTTGAAAGGGCACCCCCCCTCCCCCCATTTGGCAGCTGTCCCTGTATAGCAGAAGTTGACTCGGCACATGGCTTCCCATCAGACATAAGTCTGCGTAGAGAGTGAAACTCATTTTATCCTTGACGATGCATGGGGCGGAGGGCGGGCGCTACAGCGTTGGTGATTGGATGACTGCCGCACGATAAACTATCACAAATGGTAATTTGTGAGAAGTGCAATGGAAGTGTTTTCATTGCAAAACAATGTCGTTCGCAAACTCTGCACACTCCAGCCTGCAAAACGCCGTCTTCCCTGATTGCTTCAAAGTAGGGTAGCTCTCATTACTCTGATAGTGCATTGTCTTTGTGCTGTTCGCCTTTTGGCGTCCTCTGGTCTAACACCGTTTGAGACGAGTCTCAAAATAAAGCTGTCTCTGATGTGGACCAATCAGTTTCAAAGACAATGCATATATTATCAGAGTATGTTTTTTTGTTTGAATTCTGACCACAAGTATTGTGGTTAATGCAGACATGATTCCTTGTAAAAAGGTTTCAGTTTGGTGTTTTAACATCTTAACACCTGTTTTGTTGCCAGGAAAAAGGGGAAAATCTATTCTCATATCAGGGTAACTGCCCTGAATGTTTTCTCCTTAAGTTTTGTGCGTTTCTAAAGAGGAAATAAACTGTTAATATGAAAAAAGTCAATCTTCAAATGAGAGTTGGACAGTACTGGTCTCTGTTGACAATGCAAGATAATACTTTGCGTAGTTGCGAACATATGTAACAAAAAATAATTAGCAGACAATATGCCTTCTTTCCATACCTGCTTTTCCATAAAAAAATCAAAAGACATTTTTACACATCCCCATCAGCAGTATTTGTTCTCGCTATGGTGGCGAAATGTTGACTAATTCACCTGGTATACATGAGGTCGTGGATTCAATCCCGACCCTGACGCTTGTGGATGTTTCTCCGGGTCCTCCGGTTTTTTCCTCTACATATAACATCAAAATGTGTTTAAAGTATTTGGCTGCTACAAATTACCATATGATAAGCCACTTCATTGAGCTATCATTTGTGGCCAGGTTGCTTCTGAAAAAGAGCTATATAGCTCAGTGGGCCTTACCTGGTAAATATAAATAGTTTTTTTTTACTCTGGACCCGTTTCGACATTCAATGCCTCGTCAGCATAGGCTTTCTGGAACCAATGCTGGTGATGATTATTTTATATTGGCTAATGATGACATTTCCACATTCCTATGTAAGGGGGAGATTTCCTTCATAGGAAAAAAAAAAACCCACTGTGAATAATATTGTTCAACTATTTTTAGTTGAACCAAATTTAATATAGGTGGTTCAAGTCATTATGCAGCTGATGTTGCTTTGGAAGTGTTATCTCTGAAAACTGTGTGTACAATACTCGACGCTCACGTTTGCCACCCTGATAAATGCACTCAGGTCAGTAGGCCCGACATGAGCTTTATCAAACGCGCCACAGTAGTCACTAATTTCCGATCACTCGAACAACAATCATGCGTGTAAACAACGTCTCATCTCACAGTGAGTTTCTTCTGCTTGGGACTTGAGAATGCTAACGACAGCCCATTTGATAGTATTAGTTTGAATCCGACTAAGACAGAGATTTTGTTGTTGTAGTAGAGCACACATACATATTCATTTGGGCCTAATTTGCAGCAATGGTTTCTCTTAATGTCGCAATGTCATCTGCACGGTTTTTACATTTGTATTCAAAGCACGTCTCAGAGAAAAAAATATCTCCGTGGCATTTTTATCGATGGGGCCGGTTCATAAAATTGTCATAATGCTCACTCGTGTAGGCAAGCGTGATGATGTAAACCGGCTTATGCCGACATTTAGCGTCCTCATAAGCGTCCTTGCGGTAGTTACCGAGGCCCTGTGCATAGCGTTGGACATCGCTGACAGCATTAGACCCGTACATCATTCGAAGGTGCAGGCTTGTATTTTATAGCAGCTGCCTATTTTTAGACTCCATAAATACACGCGCGGTTTGAACCTTTGCTTATCAGGTGCCGCACGGTGCTGTTTGTTGGCATTTGACATGAATTGGTTCCAATCAAATGCATTTACACGTGCACCAGCCATGCAGCTCCCGATTTATAAGCTCGGGCAATATTGGTTTGAAAAGTTGCTTACTTGTGTCAGGGGCTTGGTGAGAAGGGCAAATTAATTCGACATTGTAGTAGAAATATGCGTGATTAGAGGCCAGCTTAAAATTGCCATTTAAAGGAAAGTGAGAAATGTAGCCCGGGTTTGCGTGTGCACACCGATATACCCTTCAGTTCAGTTTAACGACAGCGTTTCTCTTACGTTGCTTCAAAATTATACAATGTTGCGGTTATTTTAGTGAGAAATACGATACTACTTTAAAAATTAGGTGAGAATTCGCCACTCAAATTGCTTAATTTGATTGGATAAGTAGTCGTTGAGATACTTTTTTTTGCATGGAGACTTGAAAATGTAATTTTAAAAAATAATTATAATCACGCTTTAAACCCCTTTGGCAATCCATTGCCAGATTAAGGACTTCCTACTCTGTGTCAGTGGCCACATTGGTCAGTATGGGGTCTTGACTGGGGTGCTGGAGTTGGGAGGAAAGGCTGCCAAAGACCACGAGATATCGATTTGGTTTCTCGTTTTTAAATACAGTAAAACTTTGGATTGCGAGCATAATTCGTTCCGGAAACGTGTTTGTAATCCAAAGCACTCGTATATCAAAGCACTCGTATATCAGTTGTGATCACGTGATGCTCGGCAGACAAAGCGTAAAGGTACTACTCGTATTGCAAGACCTCGCTCGTTTATCAAATTAATATTCATTTAAACATTTTACTCGTCTTGTAAAACACTCGCAGACCAAGTTACTCGCAATCCAAGGTTATACTGTAGTTTACAGCTTACTCGCCACTGATGTTAGCCGTGGCAGAGAGTGAAACTAGTGCCCATGTACAGCAGTACGCTAACCACTCCACCTCACCAATATTTCAATCATAAACAGTATTTCAGTAATTTTTTATGATTTTACTTCAATGTGATATTTTACAATAAGGATGCATGAACTATCAAATCAGAAGAGTGAAAATCTCTCCCCACTCAATGAACATTGGCATTCCTGATCCAGTGGTGGTAATGCCACACGAGCTAAAGAGCAACTAATCTTATAACCAGAGCACAACATCTTATAACCTGAACACAAAGGCTTATTGTTGACAACGCTGTCACAGGGAAATTCATGCTCAATGTAAAGCAGAGAGTGCACTTCAGGGGTGCTGCAGTTTAATACATTTCCAGCATGGGTGTGGGAATCAAACTGCTGGCTTGAGACAAACGTGGGCTGCAGAACGGTTAGGAGCCATGATGGGGACTGCTACCTTTCCATATCGACCACCGTACACACGCTGCGTGTACAGAGATGCACTTGACATTAAGTGCTGACTCTCCCGTTTGTCCCCCGCAGGACTACACGCTCACCATGTACTTCCAGCAGTGCTGGACGGACAAGCGGCTCTCCTACACGGTCATCCCACTGAATTTGACTCTGGACAACCGTGTGGCCGACCAGCTGTGGGTGCCCGACACCTACTTCCTGAACGACAAGAAGTCGTTTGTGCACGGCGTGACAGTGAAGAACCGCATGATTCGCCTTCACCCGGATGGAACGGTGCTCTACGGCCTGAGGTGCGTTCGCATCTCCACCCGCCGGCGCTGCACGCTCGCTCGGCATGCGTGGAATGCGCAGAATCACAATTTAGTTTTTATTACTTATTACTATGTAAGGCCCAATGAGCTGTACAGCTCTTTTTTCAGAAGCGACCTACCCACAGATGATAGCTCAACGATAAGTGGCTTATCGCGTGGACATTTATAGCAGCCAAATGCACTGAATGTGTGATGTTGATTCTAAACGTGGAGAGAAAGGAAAAAAAACAGTGGACCTGGAAAAATCCACGTGAACAACGGGGAAGGAGACACCACAAAATGTACAGCAGGCATCAGGGTCGGGATCGACCGCATGACCTCCTGCAGCCACTGTCATTGTAGCCAGGATATTTTTTTGTAAAAAAAAAATCATCACGGCGGAGGTTAAGGGGAGAAATGTTTTTTGTTTATTGGAATGAGGAATTGCAGAAAGCGCCGAATCGAAAGTGCGATGTGTTTCAGACCCTTCCGAGGTTTCATCGACTTTGTTCAAGCATGCGATTTCCATGACCACAGTGTCCTCGGAGCCAAAGTTGGAGATGTATTCATAGCCTAATCTCATATTTTGTACTTCAAAAGTAACTTCATTCGATTACGCAATTATGTTTTCATGCACGGTTTCTAAAAAGTCATGTTAAGTCGATTTAATGTGGAAAAATATCACCACTCTACTCTGATTCAAATGCTTTGTCACACGAGATATGTACACTTCGGTTGCTGCTGTATCACATTCAGGCAAACTGCTCATACGATTGCAATCCCCGACTATTTGTGTTGGAATTATTTTACAATGAATACAAAAAAAATCACAAATCAATTAATCGGTATACACTAAAGAATATATACATAATAATCTGATTACAAACATGTAATTGAGTAACAGCACGAGATGATTACTTGTGCCTGCCTTTCTTTATATGATTATGATAATGCACTCCTTTGTATACGTGTACCACATTGCTCTCCAACGCTGCAGATCATTTCCAAAATCAAACATTCACAAAACACAAGATACTGGAGTATTCCAAAATCAACCAAGCAAAGAATCGGCAACTGGCCTTGTCTCATCAAATTGCAGATTACAGCCTCCTTCTATAACAGTGCCTTAATAAAGCAAAACATGAAAGCCCACGATGATAGTATAGGAATGTTCAAACACTGCCGATGAGTTACTTGACTGCAACATATATGTGGTTGTCATGCGGGATTTGAAAGCCGCGTGACCTAACAAGGCTGTTTGCTGACACAGCAATCCCTGAAAAGCCTTGGTTTTTGTTAATATTGGTGCCTTCTGTGCATATACACACCCTCTGCTGGGTTTGCATGGCATTGGGGGTTTTTACCCAGGATATCATGAGACGTAAGAATAATCCACAATCATGTGTATACAGGTGGCAGCATCAATGTATTGTACCTAATTCAAATTTAGGCTTTTTTGTACTTTCCTAAATGCTCCTGACAGCAGAGTCATAATTCACGTATGAAAATAATCCAGACATGATAGTACAAGCCTTTGACATCCTTTAAGGGCCTTTGTCATAGCCACTGCGGTCATCTCCTCCTTAGTTTTGCAGAGGGAATGCACGGTTCTCTTTGTGCGTGTCTGGAACTCGTGTCCTTGCAGTTGGCCAAGGGTGGATTACCGTGCGTACAAATCGGCAAATACAAATTTCGTTTGACAGGTGCCATATTGAGACCGTCAACCTCTCGGATAAGCTAAGAAACGTGGTTTATCTTCGGTTAGGGCCTGCGACTTGAGCCCCTCATCTCAACACTGCTGCCTCAGGAGCTCGCACACAGCCACTGAGGCCAAATGGGGAAATTGTGGACACAAGAGACTCGTTACACGACAGGGAGGATAGGCAGCGATTAGCAAGGATTGCATGGACAAACACACATCTGCGGCGCAGTAATTGATGGATTACAAGAACAATGAAGCAGGCATGTCCATTTCAGCTGGAACCATATGGATTACGCTATTTGAGAATATGTGTGTGTCCGAGGTGGAGGGTGAGGTTATAATCTTTTGACATATAAAGTATGAAGCGTCCAGCTCACTATCATCGTGCCCTACCTTTGCTTTAAGCATGAGCTGTAATACATCTTGTTGTCCATTTTTCGCCCTCAAAAAGCAACACGGCGAAGAATGGGAATCATTTGCGATACAAGTCACACAGGGATGTTGTCGGGCACCATTGGTTAGCACACCGGACTTGCAATCCAGGGGTTGTTGGCTCGATCTCCTCACGTAGTCGTTGAGACGATGGCCAGGAAGGCTACGGCGGTTCAGAAAGTGTTTCACGAATGAGCTTGGACAGGCACGCAACAGGAGCCAAGGAAGAAAAGAGCCAGACAGCGATGACGGAGCGAAATATCTCAGAGAATGGGTGAGACTGACCAATGTCACTAACGATCGCTTAAGAGAAGCGGTACATGGTGAAAACTCTTTTGGCCCTTTCCTCGCTCATGAGCTGACAGCAAGGACTTATAATGGGTCGCAAAATAGCAAACACCTGACATAACCTCAGTTTCCTTTTGTAATGGAATGAAATTGAAAAAATGAAAGAGTGTCTTGGGTTGGAAAGCAGTGCCATGGATTGTGGTGCACGCTTCCTATGCAGCGCTTTCGAAGATGCATTGGTGGATCGCTTAACAGAACCCATGATGTGCGTGAGATTCTAAATCCACTGGCCTCCGAGATTAGCGAGTGGATGGCAACAGAGAATGGGTTTACTCACCTATCTGTATGGATTTTGGGTGTTATCTACTCTTCATATGCAGGGCTTCTGTGGATATTCTGAGGGGTTTTTTTTCGTCTCATTGACACAAACTCGTTAAGCAAATGGCAAAACATCCTTCATGTGGAACCCTCCTAAAAGGAGCCTTGGCCCTCCTGAAAAAAAAGTCTTGAGATTCGGTGAGGCGTTCCTGAGTAAACGAGTGGCATGATTTCATGTTTTTTTATTAGTTATAGATTATTAAAGGTATCTCGTGACGAAGCTGTGCAGTATTCCATGACGGTGCTGGTTCAGCTGACGAGGAACTCGTTTTTGTTTCCGTATAGGGAAGGACGATAAACAGGCAATGCCCGTGCGTTCCCCTTTTACGAGTCACTAAACAATTTATTTACCATTTCTCCTGAACTGTGCAATTTGCAGTCAACTAATTCGAATTTCAAACGTTCATAGAATATTGAAAATAACTTTTACTTTTCACATACTTATGAGCATGCGATTACAATTTGTACGCCTAACGCCCTCTCAACTGAGTGCCTTGTTAGTCAACAAGAAACGTGTGTTCGCTTCACTTCTTGCATTGCACTGAAAATACAGAGAAGCACGTTTTGTGCCGTCAAGGTACTAATTAAAATAAATATTCTGAAAGTTTCAAAGTGCAGTTTTGTGGCTGTCAAAAGGTTATATCGCATACAGTAGATGACAGGATGTATGAAACGTATTGTGCAATTGTTTTTTTTTACTTTCGGGACTTGCTTGCATTATTATTCTTGAAGACAATTGCCATTGCATGAATTGGAGCTCAAGCGTGAACAATATTAATCTGAGAATGAATGCGTGTGAGGTGGTCCTCCATATCCACATTCCTATGGCGGGGCCCACTTTTGGGAAACCAATGTTCACTTTCCACAAAGCGTTACTAATTTTTTTCAACCCCAGAGGCCCGGCTGTGAACTTGGCAAGCTTCTGATCGGGGCTCTGGGCACTCTGTCCCAACACCAGCCGTCCTGAGATCTTAATAACGATACGTGAATAAAAGTGACAATTTGAAACTTGATATTGCTAGTGGTTGAATCGCTTAGTTTTATAAGAAAATATATATATTAATTGTTTGAACGTGCACGAACAAGCTGTGGTGGTGGTGGAGTGATGGTGCAGTGTGTCATACACCGCGATGAGACTGGCAACCTGAGAAAGTGGTATCTGAACTGTACCTGGGCACCCCCTTCTAAAAAAAACCCAGCAAAATAACAACCTAATTACATAACGTGCCGTTCATGCAAATAGCATCTCAAAAACAGTGTAGGTAACTGGTGCAGTTTTCGCACTGAGGTGCACGACATTTGCAGGCAAGCACGAAAAGCAGCCAATAATTGCCCAAACGCTGTTATCCTGTATTGGGATGTTTGGCTAACTCCTTTCATCAACCCACGTTGACAAGTGTGGAAAAGGAATGGTCAAACAATCCCCATGTGCTTGCACGGCATCTAGAGTCCTTCATCCAGTGATGGATTCAAAAAGGAATGTGAAACTATTAGTTTTGTTTATTGATTTCAAGAGGTGTGGGTATTTTTTGTTTGTGAGTAGAGAGTCTAAAAAAAAATTCGCTATTCAGTGTTTGGAATGCCTAATGGATCATGCTACTGGATAAATCGATGCAATATTTAGATGTGTTGCTGCCAATGTCCTGACTGCAGAGAAAGACGAGAGCAGTAGCTCCTGCTACTGCACGTGCATGTGAAACGTGGAAGAGAAGAGGAGGAATAATGCATATAAGTAAATGAACAAGCGACAAATAAGACACGGTGCGCTTTAATGCTAAATTTAATTGCAATGAATAGCTTATTATGTAGCGATTGCATGCAACCCTAACATTAACTATGCAGCATGCTCTCCTTGGAATTTAAAATATTTCTACAATGTTACATTTAAGGAAGAAAAGAAAACGATGAGCAAAGTTGCATTTGTTTTTAAAACCATCCAATTAAGTCCCGCAATTAAGCAGCGTGTGGGAAGTGTGATAAGAAATTGATCACCGACAAAGTGCCTTAAAAGGCCATTAAGGACAGCAGCTCAATACCTATCGCTTCCCTTCTGCTGCCCGCGCAGACATTGCCCGCTGGTCGTGTCCCCGCGCGAGCCTCGGAGTCTTCGTTCGTAATAGGAAGCGGCTCCATTTGGGAGACTCGCAAGAAGTGTGCCGAGGAGGGGCGGCTACCCCCCTCGTGATGCTTCTTCCTGCGC